TTATTTCCATTCTTTCCTTATTTGTATTTCAAGAACTCTATACTTGAATATTTTGTCGTTGTATTTAATGCATAAATTATTGTTGTTGGGTGTAGCCACTTCAATAAGCGTTGTTGGTCTAGTTAATCCATTGAATAATATGAGATCCGGTCGATTGTGTGCAATTCATTAGTCTGTGAGAACAGGAGGACCTATAGCTTCTCATTTCGTATATTAATATTAATTTTTTTTTATTATTGAAATAATTTATTTGTTTTTGTCTGGCTCATTAATATTGTTAGGAACGTATTTATTGACAGAATCTTAAATCTAAAATACCTATTTTTTATTGCTACTAGATGGTTTCACCATAAAAGTAATATCGCTGTATAACAATTTATTATTATTTGCTTAATATCAATTTTCTGATTTTGCTTTATCTACAAATAAACCATCCGTTTTAGGTTAGGTTTTGGGTTAGGCAACCCAAATTCTGCTTGCGTTTATGTTGTAAATTATATACCTACTACAATCAAAAATATTAGATCAATCGACAAAAATTAGACATCAAATAAAAGGGAGTGAAAGAGAGATACGGATTGCTGAAAAATAACTATGATTTGTAAATTTTGGAAAGCTTGAAGCTTGAGTCCTAAATCAAAATATGTGTATTAAATTATGTATGGATAACGCAACAACTCTTACCTGTTTCGTGTAAGAAAATGTTTTTTCTACTCTCTTACTAAGGTAACTGAATACAATATGCCCATGTTAAGGGAATTTTGAATTTATTGCTACAAAAATATATTTTTCGTATATTTTTTAACACTATACCAATGTTTAGGTGTTCAAACATCGCTAGTTTTTTTATTGTTTGGCAATTATTTTTTTTTCATATCGAATTTTTCTTTTTTTAAAACCCCTCAATCAGGGCATATTGCCAACCCCTGAAGGTAATATGCCCAGTCGAGTTAAGGTAATATGCGCTTACCTAAAACACTAAACGATGTGGAAATAAATATTAAAAAACATCATATACTTACAAAATCTTATATTTATTGACACTATAAAAAACATTTAACCAAACAAAGATATTAGATAAACAATCCTTTTTGTAAAAACTAAAATGTCAAAATAAAGAATTTTTAACTGAAATAACTTGAAATTAAGGAACATTATTGTGGGGTACAATCAGGACAGGTAAAGGATTCCTTATCGAATTTTGTCAGCCCTACACATTCTTCACGAACGTACTGTACACATATAAAGCATAGTCGCATGTCTTTTATTTCAGCTTTGTCGCAAATTTTGCAAAACCATTTTGCTACGTCTTCTGATTTTTTGTTTTTCTTTACCAAACAACCTGGTAGAGTTTGTTTCGTGCCTTTATTTATATCTGTTCGTGGACCTGTGCTAGTGGTAGAAAATACATTTTTTTTTACCACTATAGCTCTGCTATTTATTGCCTTCTTTCTATTTTGTGTATTTTTTTTCTCAATTTTTGCCGGAGTCTCAAGCATTTCCGTAAACGATGTGTCCAAAGTTTTGCCCTGGCAAGTTTTTATTTCTTCAGTATTACTTTTTTCTTCTCGAAGATTGTTATTCTCTTTGTTATAAACCTCCAAATCATTTTTTTCGGAATTCATAAGGAAAGTTTCCTTTTTTTTATGAAACTGATTTATTGCCAATTCAACTTCTTCGCCGCTGTCTTCTGATTCCGAAGTATAACTGTCAGAACTCTCACTTGATGAAGTTTGTGTTTTAGACTTCTTTTTCATGTGAATTGGCGTCTTTGTGTATTGTGACAAACAGTTTTGTTGGGAAGAGCTTTTTGAATAGTCTGCAGTTGGTGGTGGAGTTTTCTGGCGCAGATTAATGGGTCCGCTATCACTATCACTTGAAGATGATTTAGTTCTAGGTTTCTTTTTTTTGTAATCTTGGGTCTTTTGATATTTTGGTACACTTTTTTGTTGAGAGGAATTATATGAACAGCCTGGAGTAGGAGATGGTGTTTTCTGGCGTACATTAATGGGACTATCACTTGATGATGTTTCAGTTCTAGATTTCTTTTTTTTGTAATCTTGGGTCTTTTGATAGTTTGGTACCCTTTTTGTTGAGAGGAGTTATATGAACAGCCTGGAGCAGGAGGTGGTGTTTTCTGGCGTACATTAATGGAAGTGGGATCAATTTTCTCAATTTCTGATAAAATACTTGGGGCAAAAGCAACTTCAGGTATAGCATCGGGGTTATAAGGAAATATTCCTGTTGCAGCAAAGCCTGATTTAATGTTAGAAGGTGTCAATGCCTTGTCCCACACTATCGAAAATATTTCCCCAAATCGCTGCTTTGTTAAAGCACGTTCTTTGTATTTGGTCCAATACAACAACACTTGTTCGTCCCAGTGGTGTTCAAAGGAACGAAACACAGCTTTGTCCATCGGCTGGAGTTCATGAGTTGTGTTGCTAGGCAAACACAGAAGGGTTATTTGATATTTCTCGGCAGCTTCGACAATTGAAATATCTAAGTGACATGAGGCTCCATCAAATATTAAAAGACACTTTCCCTCCAATTTATATTTTGCTAAATGCTAGAACCAAATAATGAAGGTTTCCACATTCATACTGCCTTTAGGGGTCATCAACGCCAACGTGCCATGAGGCAAATTATCTTTCCATTCGGGCTTCATGCGCCGTCCTTTAAACAAAACGGCAGGAGGAATAGCGGTACCATTGGCGTTAGCACAGCTAACAATAGTTACATTTTCCCCATGTTCCGGAGCAACCAAATGTACGCGTTTCGCGCCTTTCTTTGCTAGAACGGTCTGTTGATGATGCAGACTGAGTCTGCAGCCTTTCTCGTCCACATTGTAAATTCTTTCAGGTTTGTCGATTAAATCTAATTCTTGAAGTACATCCCTTAATTTGTCAAAATAGTCTTTTACTATGAACTTGTTCAATTTTTGAGCCCGAGCAGGATTAATGTTTTGTGCTTTCCTTATCGATATTTCAGGGTGTCTTTGCAAAAATCCTTTTAACCAATAACGTCCAGCCATTTTGGTTCTTTGTGAAAAAAAGTGTGGCAAATTGTTTTGTTCACAATAAGTAAACACACATTTTTTTAAAGTTTTATTGCTGAGGGGATACCCAACTTCTGCCAATCTAACAATTCGTCGAGACAATTCGTTTTCTTGATCTATATTTAAAATAGTCTTTCTCCCCATTTTTGCCTTTTTGGTACTATTTTTTTCTACATAGCGTTTCAAAGTGCGTCTAGAAATATTATACCTTTGACTTGCCGCATTGTATGACATTCCATTCATTACTGCTGCAATTGCGGATTCTAGCTGTTGATTGCTCCATTGCGACCGTATTTCCTTATTTCTGACACGAGGCATGTTATCTAAAACAAAAAAAATCAATAAATTATCTGTTATAATTAGCTGGCAATATGCCCAATTGAGCAAATTGTCAGCATACACTATGGGCATATTGTTGACACATGATGATTAATACATTTTCTTAAATTATAAAAACATTTTGAATAATAATATATTTTATTTTTACTTACATTTTAAGTACTCTATGGCAGACTAAAATCACTTAATGTCGTAGACAAATTAAAACGTTTAAGTGCAAAACAGAGGTGAAAACTGACGTCAATTTTTATAAACACGCTCTTAAAAACCACGTACAACTTGACTGCACCACGGCAAGCTCACAACTAACCTTGAGGTCGGTCACGGGCTTAGTTATATTAGGCGTTCAGTGTGTCCAGCGCCTCCTTCCCCGAATATCAAATATTAAAGCAAAACATGGAAATGGGCATATTACCATCATGGGCATATTGTATTCAGGTACCTTAGTAAATTGTATATTACCTACTATTTGGATGCTAAGTAAATGCATCATAACAGATACTGACACGTAATGACTAGCACGTAATAAAAAAAATTACGCTTCAGTTTTATAAAAATGTGTAATATCACATAAGCCTCGTAAGTCAGTTGGTCGAGTTACCATGGAAACGAATAAACAGACGTTATTTTGACAGATTAAAAATTATTAATCTGTCAGTGTAAATATAGTGGTAATTTAATTTTTATTTTTATAAACGAAAATAATGGTAGAAAAAGTATAGTACACAACTTGAGTTGTAAGCTTATTAAATGCTTGTAAAATTACTGCGCTCGCCGCTACGCGGCTCGCGCGCAACTTTTTTACTCGCATGTAATAAGCTTCTTACAACTCTCGTTATGTAATATACTATTAAGTGTGTGCCAAATACACACATCTTTTACTTACTTCTTTAGAAAAACTTTATCCGGGTTATATTATTAAGGCAGTGTACGTTTTATAATTTTTGGCATCAAAATTTTTGAGCAATGTTGTACCTATTACATATATGATACTAATCCACCTTTGGTTGTTCTGTTAACGAGTCGCGAAACAACGAATCAACTCAATGCTATAAACAACCGCTAAATGTCAATATTAGTAAAAACGAAACTAAAATTATGAATTAAAGGATGCACCTCTCCCCCTAATCAATTGACGAACAAATGTTCTGATATTAAGTTAACACTTTCCTTAAGTTCAGTTCACTTACAGCTTTTACGACATTTTGTTCCTGTTTTATTTTTATTTGCGTCGTGGCATGTAGGTTTATTTGGTTTTTTGGTTCGTTTTCGTTTTGTTTAATTTTGATCAAAAGCAGAGCAATCACTACCTTACACACATTACACTCACACAGTTTATTAAAAAGTAGAAATATCAAAAATGTGCGTATTTCTTCTCTTTGATGACATGATCATCATACATAGGCTTTTAGAGAATCACCATAATAAAGTTCTTGATGAACATATCCCAGAAAAATATCTAATGGCCTATGTTTGAGATAACAAACGGAATCGAAGCAGTTTTTCAGTACTTAATTTCCTTTATTAAGGAAATTACAAACACTGAGAACCTGTTTTGTTGTTCCACATCCAATTCAACCTTTTCAAACCTATGTATTTGATTTAGGTCTTTCTAAAGGAGTAGGTTTTATTCGATTCGATCAACGCTTAGAAGCCGAAAGAGCAATCCAAGAATTGAATGGTACCATTCCCAAGGGATCCACCGAGCCCATAACAGTGAAGTTTGCTAACAACCCAAGCAACAACAATAAAGCTATTCCTCCGTTGGCAGCTTATCTTACTCCACAAGCAACCCGTAGATTCGCTGGACCGATTCATCACCCTACAGGTCGCTTCAGGTAAATATGATTATTCTACTTCTACTAACAATAGGACTTCTTCAGATTTCTTTCCTCAATGTACAGTGGAGACAACCTTAATAATTGTCACTTGTTAACTGCTTTCTAAAGCTCTAATGAGCTGCAGCTTGAAGTATTTTTTGGCAGTTCACTTTACATAAGCGACTTCATTGTAGTCTCTCATAATATATTTCAATTTCAATAAATTTGGATAACATTATTTATTAATTTTAATTGATATATCAATATTTATTTCCATTCCTACTTTGCTACTATTCAATGTTATAAAGCAGTTTGAAAAAAGCATATAAACCAGAGAATCTAGCAAATAAAAAGTATTTTAGAAGACACTCTTTAAGTGTCACCTAAATTTAGTAATAACAATATGTAATAAACACTCGGCGTCAATTTCACTACTGATTTCCATTTTTTTAAATGGAAAAGCGAAAACAGTTTCGAATCTTATATGACAAGCGCTGTTATAATAAAAATACAAGTTGATATTATTGTGAAGGCCACTCACGTAGATACTCAAAATCCCCAAAAGTGAACAAAATCATCCCGAAAATACACTGCACCCCAAAATTAATGCATAATTTTAAAAACCCTGGTTGGTAAATCAAATATTTTTAATGTTTCGATTTTTGTGCTAATATATTATTGTACCCCCGGTATATTGTAAAATTTATCGAAAGAACGGTAAAAAACGCTGATGTTTTTACAATTTTTTGCAATAAAAACATGCTAATTTTGTGCTTCATTTTATTTCGAATTTAGTTGGGTTGGATTACGTTGTGCTGAACGTTTAAAAGGGTTTTTAAGTTTATTAAGTGTTTTTTATTTGAAATTAACCACCAGCAGCAAAAAATCGAAATTTGTCAGAAAGTTACTGTTTTAGAATCGTTACTCTTCGCGAAGAAGGATACACTCAAGTAGAACTCGCTGAATAACGTCACGCAGACATCATTTCAAGGGCAGTAACACGTTTTTCTGTTACTGGAAGTAATTCGAGAAGACCCAGTCAAGACCGTAGATGGGTTACCGCTCCTAATCAAGACCGGTTTTTGACACTTCATACACTGAGACAAAGGTGTGTTACCAGTACTTCTCTAAAAAATGAATTTTTGGATAGTCATAACTTTAGAATCAGCCAAAATACGATTAGAAGAAGACTTGCCGAAAACGAACTACACCCTGGAAGGGCACCAATCGACCCATTATTGACCAGAGACCATAGAAGGCAAATATTGCATTTTGCTCGTGAACATGTTGATTATAATAATGATGATTGGGGAAGAATATTGTGCACCGATGAATCCAGGTACTGTCTTTTTTCTGATGACAGGAGAAACCCAGTGTATAGAAGGCCTATTGAACGCTACGCACAGTGCAGTATGGGGGGTAATGGTGTGGGGTGGGATTAATTTAGAGGCTTGTGCGGAATTATTTAGAATAGATCGCGGTCGGAATACATCGTAAAGGTATATAACAGACATTTTACAAAAGCATGTCGTGCCATTTTCACCATTTATTGGGGATAATTTCATGCTTATGCAAGATAATGCCAGGCCACACACGGCAAGAATTGTGCAGCAGTATCGTCAGGAGGTTGGAATTCCTGCCATGGATTGGCCTGCGAGAAGTCCTGATCTCATCCCAATAGAACATGTTTGAGACATCATAGGCAGACGACTACAACAACTACCTAATGCACCAAACACATTAGATCAGCTGTTTTTGTGGTTGGTTGAAATTTGGGATCAAATTGATCAAGAAGAAATCAGAACAATTATTCTCAGTATGAGAGATCGTTGTCAAGCAGTAATAAATGCCAGAGGAGGCAATACTCGATACTAGTACACGCCACTAGTATTTTCTTCAATTTTAAAAATTTCAATTTCGTCTTTAATTTATAATGTTAGTTTGTTTAGATTAGTTGTTTGTTTAGATGTTTAGATTTATGATGTTATATTGTTAATTTCAATACATTTTTTGTAAAAAAAAACAGTTTTTTATTTAAGATGTTGTAAAACAACCATAAAGCAGAAAAGAAAAAACAAAAAATTTTTCATTACAACTCAAAATAAGAATTTTAAAATTATGCGGTAATTTTGGAGCGCAGTATAGTTGCTTTCGGTACAATTTCATAAAGTTGCGATAAAGGTATTATTTATAATTGTAATACATAAATATTTAACTTAGTGTAAACAAATTACTCGAATAAATAAACAATTTACAAATTAACTAAATGCATTTTTCACCAATTTCGATGAAAAAAAAAAGAACTAACTCGGGTCCTAAGAGTCGTAGGAGAAATAGAATAAAAATAAATTAACGTCCTACATGTTGATTGAGTTATTTTAAATGTTTATAAGCTTAAAATCACAGTTCGTTTCTGAAGCTATTTTACAATACTTAGCATAAACTTTTTAATCTTTAATTTAAAATTTAATTTGAAATATGAGCCATTCTCTTCAATGTGGTGCTGTCAGAATTTATATAGACTCAATATTTTACGCATATTACCGTTGTAGATAAAAGCTTTCTGGAATAAACAATTTCAGTTTTGCAATTAACTATTAAGTGAAACTTGTTGAAATTTTCTCACGCAAAATTAAACTTTTTTCTGCAGTTTTAGAAAAGTTAATTTTATTTTTCAAAAAATTGACTTTTAAAGCTATTTTGTAGTAATTCAGCAAGAAATTAACAAAAATAATTTTACAAACTTTGATTTTAAACAATTTTCTATGCTTTTTTAGTAAAATTGAGTGCCTTTTTATATAATTTACTGGTTTTCACCTCAAGTATTTAAAGTCGAATAGCGATCTTACAATGTTTATACATTGTTTATATATTTTTTATAAGTAAAAAATGTCCAATCTTTCACATATTTTCTTTATTACATATTGTTATTATCAAATTTATCAAAAGCAGGTATTAGATACCTGTATCGAAGAGTGTCTTGAGAATATCGTTAATTCCCTGGTCTTGTAGTTTTGAGGCGACTTTTCTATGTTTTCGGTAAACAATTACCTAGGGAATTTCTATGTTTCCTAAAGTCGTCTTAATCTAATAGATTTTTTAAGTGTGATAGTTGTGTTGAGGATCAGATTATCCTTATTTCATTTAGTCCATAGGTCTCATAGACCAGCGTGTCCATGCCGCCCACTATGTGACCTGAAGTCCGACAACCATATGCCATATTTTGTATTAATATTCAATCGAGTATTTTTTTTGTCTTAAAAAGTGTTTTAAAAACATTGAGTTCATTTCTGCATTAGATTTCTTTTACCTCCTTCTTAGGTATAAGCTAATATAAAACATTCTAAATTGTTGTTTTTACAGTAATAACAATCTAGTAGTTCCATTTTATGAAATTTTCAAAATATTTGTATTCTTGATTATAAAATAAACATTTATTTATTTTTAGGTACTCTCCGCTGGCTGGAGACCTGTTGGCAAATTCGATGTTGCCTGGAAACGCAATGAATGGCTCTGGTTGGTGCATTTTTGTTTATAATCTAGCACCTGAGACGGAAGAAAACGTTCTGTGGCAGTTGTTTGGCCCATTCGGCGCAGTGCAGAGTGTCAAAGTGATCAGGGATCTCCAAACAAACAAATGTAAAGGTTTTGGATTCGTCACAATGACAAACTATGACGAGGCGGTCGTCGCCATTCAATCCCTAAATGGATACACATTAGGCAATCGCGTATTGCAAGTCAGTTTTAAGACAAACAAGAGTAAAACCACCTAGAGCCAGGAGAAACCCTTGACACCAGCGCGTTCGATGCACTCTGCCTCTCCTTAATTTATTTATTTATTTGCGGTGATTGTGCCGCTATATTTTAGGCAATTGGCAACCACGGGGTGTGAATAGGGTGCAACGGACACGGGGGTGCCCCTGCCAGCCAGAAGCGCACCTCCCTCTAATTTAAATATTTATAGTACTTAAAATACGAAGCTAGTCAGAAAGGCATGCGCGTTTCCTATAGCAAACATTTATATAGTCTGATGTTTTGTATTAGTCATTGATATAGTGCCATCGCAATTTACTTTTTGTTTTAACATTTGTTGCCTGATCACCCGTTTTAAATATTTTTCAACTTTTAGGGACGACCCTAATGTTTCATGTTAACGTATTGTTAATAGATGTTTTACTTAGATGAATATCTTCCTTCCAGTCTTTTCACTTATAGCACACTTTACTGTTAACGTAGGTTAAGTGTAGTGAGTGTTGGATAATTCAACATTAAAGATTCATGTAACAATTTTCTCTATGAATCACGTGTGATAGAAATGTTCATGGCGCCACAGTTTACATTAAATAGACTAGTCGCCTGTTTATATTATGACAATTTTACTTCACTAAAAAGCAATTGTAATCCAAAGAAGATATCTTAGACAATTCGGGATATTGACTGTGACTGATAGCTTTATATATAGTTAACGTATTGTTGACCATATGACACAAAGTATTTAAGCAGCCATCTCACTATTTATATACAATTAATTTAGAGTTATTATTTGCTAATAACAAAGATTTATTAAACATATAACGTTTTAGCAAACACGTATGTACAGAAATATGGTTAAATAATCTCGAAATTATTTGTGTATACAGTATGCCAGTTGCTTAGGAGCAAACTGGGAATGCCACGTGGCCAGTGAACCAGTAGCCTACATCTACTGTTCATTCATAGGACTTTACCAATCGCAAGAAGTTTATTTTATTTATTAACAAAGAAATCATATTTTATTTTATATTTATAGGATTATTATTTATATATAGTAAATTGTTTATTTATTTTAATTAATTTCGTATTATAATAGCTTGTTGGTGTGCTATGATTGAATAGAATTAAAGGAAGCCTTGTTAAACCGTTGAAATGAAATTTGAAAGACTATTTGATGTTTCGAATAATGATTATAATTGTTAAAGTAGCAATCTCCGGTGCCCTAATCTGGGATAGGAGGGTGGTTTAGGTTAAAGAAAAGTGGAAAAGTATTTGAACTGGAGAAGGATAACGATGATAGAATGAAAGGTAAAGGAGCGTTTATTCGAATAGAAATATGAACCAAAGATTCATAGGTCTATTAGTATTTACAAAGTACTATTTATTATTTTATAATAAGTTCAATGTCTTTAAGTAGATAATTTATGTATTTGTATGTAGTATTTTTGTGTAATGATTGATTTATCCAAGCTAGTCGCTCGCAACGGCGCAACAGCAAAAATTAAGTGTTGGTAAATACGTTTTGTGCCGTTGCGTACCTGTATTTGTATTAAAAGAGAGTTAGGGGTGATAAGGACGCCATCTCGCCTTGTGATAGTGTACTTTACTAGGTAGATGCTTGTGGAACTGACTGATCGTGACTAACGATTTAAAAAATGGTGACCGCCCTTGCCACTCAAGACTCTCCTTATCCTCATTTGTGTGTTGTGTTTAGTTTCCAGTTTTCTAAAATTGGCTTTTCTTATAGTTGAGTGGTTTTGCTCGAAACGCCTTCAATGTTCGATGGCAATACTAGTAAGACCACAACTCCTTATTTAATTTGTCTCTCACTCAATTATTTAATTTCATTTTTATTTTTTAATTGGAATCTCATTAATTTTCTTTCACGCACCGAGTCTAACAGCTCCTATCCAATTATTTTTAGTTGTTACCTAATTTATTAGTTTGATTTATTAATATATCGACTTATTTATTTTAATTTAATGTTTATTTTTTTGTGAATACAAATTAAAATTTATTTATATTTTACTTTTATTTACACTTTTCTTTTTTCCTTTACTCTCTGTTGTGTCTTGCAGTATTTGCGAATGTTAATCTAAAGATTTGCACAAATGGCGTGCTTGCCGATATACAAGATTTCTCAAATTCTACTTACTATTAACAAAAAAACTTTTTGCTAAAGAAAAACTTTTAAGTCATTTTCTGCAGTGAAAGTAAATATAAATATTCGCCACTTTTCGGAAGTATTGAATGAAGGAATTGGAGACATCTTGTGTATATTCAAGGCTGTGGTTTATTGCTGCAAGCGCGGCCAATACCTTCCCACCAAACTAACCAACCACTTCCCATATTTACTTTATTTTTTTTATAATACTCATACCTTGACAATTGAAATTAATATGAGTATATTGATAGAAATTCTAGAAATATAAGCCAGACTGGCTGGAATGAAAACAATATGAGATTTGTTTGTCTGTCAATGTCTGACGATATTATCTAGTCCCTATCCTAGCTTGAAATCTGATGTCGACAAAATTCCAAACGGCAAAGTTTAACAAAAATCCTAAATTCTGAAATTTTATATCAGATATTACAAACTGAAAAGGTATCCCCACAATGTACAGGGTTCCAGATTCCAGAAACAACTTGTGAATAGTCATCAACTATTTGGCAAGTATATCCCTTAAACCATTTTACATGGCTATGGGGGAAATACAATATTGTTGCCATCATATTTGTTCAGTCAACATTTTGGGGTGCAGTTTCTTTTTCTAGGATATGGTCTAATCGAGTACTTATAAATAATAAGCGTACCTAACGCACACCCGCCACATAGTGCAGATTGTGAACTGTATATAGAAGTTACAAATCGTAATAGGAAAAATAAATACAATTTTATAGTTGAAATCTTGATAGCTTTAAAGTGGCGGTGCTTTTCTACATTTTAATGTGATTATGACATTAGTATCAGCACTTTCGCCTTCAATTTTGACTTGTTCACCCGCCAACCAAAATACAATAGAATTAAACAACATTAAATTCAAAAACTTTAGAAGTGTACCCCTCCATTGTAATATACACATCCCGTACCACATGTAAAAATAACAATTTAATTAAAAACATTAAGTGCGTATAAATTTAGGAATCATGCGTGAATGTTAACATGGCTTAATGTAATTCGGATAACTATCAAAATCAAACTGTAAATAACCCATTTTAAATTATAGTATGGAAACGAAGTCACTTAGATGTATACAGCAAGCCCATACTTGTTAACAAAGATCAAAGATTTTTAACAAAAATCAATTTTCTGAACTATTTGACATTACAAATTGATCTTTATTTCATGTTTTTAAACTATGTGTATTTCTATTTAAAAGTGAATGGCTTACACGTGTAAAAAGATGAAATTTATATGTATTACGTTTGTCATTAAGCATTAAGGTGGTCCATAAACAAAGCTAAATTAAGACAATTTTTGTGTTTTAAAAATTATTATGGAATAAATGACGGTTGTTTGACAGAATGTAAAGGCATTTATGCTGTCTTATGTTTAAAAAGTGTGGTTTAGTTCAAATCTATATATTTGGACGCAAGAGCTAATTCGCACATAACAATATTTTACTTCTTAGAACACAACCATTTATTCAATAGCTTTGGAATTGTATCGACCTAACAGTTTCCAATTACCGAGGATTAAGCTGTAAAGTAATTGTCGTAGCATGAAAACTGACGAAATAGAAAATAATGACAAAAATGCCAAATTTAATTTCCTCAACTGCGAGGAAGAACTGTGTAAGTAACATCAATGTCATTCTGACTTATTCTAACTACACATACTTCTCGTAAATTACAAACGTCCATTTGAAACAATTAAATAAATCATGGAACTATGTTCTGAAGGGAAGTGTTTAGAATTAATTTTACATTCCCAAATTCATGAGTGTAGAGGATAAAACACCTAAATATCTTTGTTTGTAATGGAACTCAATCTTGTTGATTATTTGCTTAAATCAGAAAGATGGTTTTTGTATCTTAAACAGTTTTTTTACAAAAACTGTCAATGAGAACTGTTAACTTCATAATGACTAAGAGATGAGTGTATCATAAGTCGAGTTTTTAGAACAAATGACTTAATTCAAAAATATATTGATCTGTACTGTTTAATTCTATTGTGTTATCTTTTAAATGTTATCAAAATCAAGCAGTAGGTATCTCCGCGTGTGATTCACTGTAAGAAAAAGCTGTGATCTTAAATTAATTTGAAGGTAAAATGATCTATGTAAGTTAGATTTATGAAGAAAGTGAGAACTGCGTACCCGAGTGCAGCTAAAATGGACATATCGAGCAAAGAGAGCAGATGTTATATACACAGATTTGTCCCTGCTTGTGATTTTCATCACAAGTTTCAATTAAAGCTCCTTCTCGGAGGAAATCCAATATATTATCATTCCATTTACGGCATTTATTTATCTTGCAAATACAACTTTTTAATAATTAACAAAACCTATATAAATAGTTTTAAACAGTCACTTTAGTTCATATTTTATGGGAAGAACTTCGATTAATAAATTATTCTGAAGAAAAGAAAAAACTATAAAATTTCACCAGCTATTCCCCAGCCCCCAAAAATCTGTTATAAACAGTTGACCAAATGTGCCTTAATTCTAATGTGACGGTAATAGGTTGTAAATGTTTGGAATTTCTTTTTTCCAGGAACAAAATCAGTCCATTGTTCTTTAAAGAGGTACGTAACTTCAGAAAATCTTATCAAATTTGTATCATGATCGAGAGTGAGATGTTTGTTTTGGTTTTCTCATGTTTTAGTTGTTCATTGCTGCTGCTACTAATTGCAGGTGTTGAGTTTAGTTGGTTCATGTCGCAACATCGCATCATTTTAACGAAATATGAGCACAACAGTGGACAACTCAAGTCAACAGAGCTCTAAGAAAAATAGTTCCTTGTGTAAAACGAGGATACTAATAGAAGCTTTAAGCTTTCCCTGGAATTGTCTCCTTCAGACAGCGTAGTGTTCAAATATATCAGCCCACGCTGGTTGCACTGGCAGGAAGGCCATTTTTATTATTAAGAACAGAGAATTTCATATCAATTAGAAGTTACAAAATTAAACCAACCTGAATTGATAGAAGATGAATTGTAAAACACAAAGTAAATACCTGAATACCTATTACAATTTTATAGATAATATTCCAAAAAAATAATTCGAAATGTAACCAAATTGAACCATATTTACGTGAGTGTCAAGAGTTAGGAGGATAACATAAAAATATATCATTTTTGAGTACATATATATTTATATGATCAAGTGTACCAAAATATTAAGAGAAAAAGTTGTATATGCAAGATTAACATAAAACAAAGTTTAAATGCCCGGCGGAAAATTTGCAGCTACTTGCCGTCCTCATCGGTCAAATGATTACAAATATAAACTGTCACTATTTAGTGAAAACATTCACTCGCATCAGTTGTCATTCTACAAGACAACAATTGCTATTAAAAATAATTAGAAAGAATGATATTTGCAAGATAGTGAGAAAAGTCATTACACCATTGTTGGAATTCAGTGCGACAGCCAAAATGATTGTAAGATAGACACTATATTAAACTATTTCTCCCTAACGTTTAAAAGGGGCATGTACAGACGAAAAACTATCAATATTGCTTTTTCAGTTTCAGTTAGGTGTTAAAGTTAGTGATTAGGATAAACGGCATTTACCGTGTGTCGTCGTGTATAGATTCCATGTTAATTGTGTAAAGACACCGTTAAGATTCTATATATCTATAGAAGAAATAAAATCAATGAAGGCGGTAGGGAGCTGCATACATAGAAGCGTGGAAATTTTGACAAATCTCAGAGAAAGGCGGTACACACGCGGCCGCCAAAGCCGTGTAACGCGCAATTTTATAAGCCGTACGGGTCAATAATGTACAATCTAAGCACAAATCTACTAGCTAGTTAGGTGATGTTATATTGGTTATTCTGGCCTAAATTGAAACTCTTGTAGACTAATACCATATACAGAACAACGATATTATTCAAATGATATATCTCTGTCAATACTTATTTACCATTCTTAGCTTCTATTTATATATGTGCATCTGTATGTATGTATATGTACCTAGTATATACTTACATTACCTGATTTCAAAAGCATTCCTTTGGAATTTTTGATTTATTGACACTATTACCCTTATTTTAGATCACTACTTAGGTATTTATAAACACTAGTGCTTTGTTCTTAATACTAATCGTGTATTTTATTATTAATGTCACAAAACAAATTTGGTATAAACACTTATAACGGAATATTATCTCCGCCAACAAATACCAAAATATTCAACTTTGTTTCTTTGTATGTATTTTACAAGATTAATCACAAGTTTTTAATATTAATAAGCAATTTTGTACGATAGTTATTATCAATTTATAATTCATACAGGGCAGCGCAGAAGTTCTGGCCTTGTAGAATTGTAGAAATGTGGCAATAGATATAGTTTGCGGATTTTGAATTAAGCCTACATTGTATAAAGACATTATAAAAAAAACATTTTCTATTATAGGTATTAGATGTTCAAGGAGCACGTAACATAAATATTTTATTTAAAATTTAACATACTATACGTATAATTTTGTGTGGTATGTTAAGTTAAATGTTATGTTTACATGGGATTAAGCCACAATTGATTATTGAAATCGTTTAAAAAAAAGATTTTTTTAAGAATTATAGGAAAATCTATGACCAACAAGTTGTTAGTAGGTTATGTTTGTTCAAATTGATAATTGACTTGCTTGACCCCGATCTTATAGGCAATAGCTTTTCTTTTGGTTGAAAAAAATTAAAGATTATGTTTTTATCAACGGTGTTTTTTGTATTGTTTATGTAATGTGTGTTTACGTATTTACAAGGTATTTTATAGATACAGGTCTTTGATCTTCCTTGTGTGCTGTTGGGTTGGGTTTGTTTTGGACAAAATAGATCTCAGTGTATTGATTGT